ATATATATATATATATATATATATATATATTGATTGATGAGTCAAAAGCAAAAGTTAGTCACAAAAAAAGGTAAAATAGGCAAGTATACTATAAAATGTAACATTCCTTGTGCTTTATGTCTCTATATCTAAAATAATAATTATTTTCACACTGCATATGTTTCTTTTGGTTTGACTAACGACCACAAAATCATGACACAATATTATAATAATAGGCCTTGGCATGCACAGGCCCCTTTAAAGTTAATTATCTAAAGAGAACTTGTATTAGACAAATATATTACCTTTGATAAAAGCTTTGCTAATGAACTCTAAGAATATAAGCTATTTAATAAAATAATAAAATGTTAGGAATTGCAGTGCTGTGCTGTCTGATCAGATGTCTTTGCCACAGTCGGGACACAGGATGTCATCTCTCTCCGTCAGGAAGCCGCGGCCCACCAGGGACACCGAACACTTCTTGCAGTTGAAGCAGTCATTGTGCCACTGTCTCTCTTCAAAGGAGATGTATTTGCTGCCTCCCAGACCTGCAAAGGATATGACAGTAACAAATAACAATGCCTCTGATAGTAATATCATGGGAAATATGACTATTGTTTGCTAAAGTGTGGACAAGAAGATTGCTGTGAGATTCATACAGGTCCTGAGGTCAGAAAGGCATGATTTCAACACCAAAATAATCCTATCATTATTTACTCAACCTTATGTCATTCAAAACCTGTAGGACTTTAGAATTTAACATTAGAATTCAAATAGTCTGTCAACATCTCCATGACAAATGACAAAAAGCACAATAGAAATATCATAAAAGTGATAGATCATTTTGGTCTGTTTCTTACATAATCACAATTGTATGGCTTCAGAACACCAGGAATATAGCACAAATTTTCATACGGACTTCTTTTATAATAAAGTCATGGTGTTTTTCTGTAAATTGTCAGTTTTGTAGCCCAAAACCTGATTCACTTTCACTGAAAAAAGTGGCGAAGATTTTAAAAAACAACAAACAAACAAAAAAAAAACATATTTTTGTAATAAAGAAATAAAGTCTTGGATATTTTTTTCTTGATTAATCAGATATTTGTCACAATATAGAAGGAATCTGTCACTATTCTGTTTCATCACAAGATGTTAATTGTGTTTAGGTTCCATTTGGTCCTGATAAGCACCTTCCAAAGATAAGGAGATGTAAATGTGTTGGTTGCTCATACCACTAATAGGGGTGGTGCAGGCAGCGCACTTCTTGGCATACAGATTGCAGAAGCAGTTGAGGCAATAGGGAAAGTCATCACGAGAGGTGAAGCGCTGGCCAGAGAGCTGCTGCTTACAGCCAGTACACAAGAAGCAGTCCTTATGCCAAGGCTGGTCATGGTAGGTCACACCCCCAGTGGTGATTGGCTGAGAGGAAGTGATAAAGGTGGGATGTCAAATATAATACTTTTCATTCAATGTAAAATGTTGCATTCTGGTTCTTACCTTCTTGCAGTGCACACACTGCAGTGCAAATTGTTTCTCGTAGCAGGGCACGCAGTAGTTATTGTTGTCCTTAGGAATGAAGCTCTTGGTTCCAATAGGCTGCTGACAGCGCTGGCAGGTAAAGCAGGTCTCATGCCAGCTGTTCCCCTTATGCTCCATCTTCCTGGAGCCTGGAGAAATAGAGAAAAATGCAGACAAACAAGCAAGTATTACATACCTTGGCTGGGTAAAAGCGAGGATTGATTATAACCTTTGTATTAAAGGGTTAGTTTACCCAAAAATTAAAAAATCTGTCCTCTTTTAGTTATGATGCATTCACGTACTGGGGAAGTTCATATTTACCATTTATGCATACAATTCAACACATTTTTTAACTCTACATCTACAAAATGATGAATAGAGAATGTGCATCAGATGTGTTTTCGCTGTTGTTGTTTTGGTTCGATTTATGAATGTGCTGTAAATTCAGTCATTATGTATTTTATCTTAATTGTACAATACTATGCTATTTTGTACAAGCAACTTGTAAATGAATTTTTTGTTTACTTTTAACAAATTCAGACATGGCATCTATTGTATCTGACATGGTTTCTTACTAATACGCCCCAAAGTGTGCCTCCATTGAAAGTCCATTCCACCAAAACTTTAAAACATAAAAAAGTTGATAAAGACACTGTGAAAGAAATCCAATGCATTTCTGAGTTTTCACATGTCATGCAAACATGTTTGAGCCTCTCCAAGAACCAATAAGGTTTGTTCTTGTGTTAAGCGCTACAGCTGAGCTGCCATTGGTCATATGTGAGCCTGGACCACAAAACCAGTCATAAGGGTCGATTTTTCAAAATTGAGATTTATACATCATCTGAAAGCTGAATAAACAACTTTTCCATTGATGTATGGTTTGTTAGGATAGGACTAACAAATATTTTTTTATTAGGATAGGACTAACAAGTATTTGGCTGAATTACAACTATTTGAAAATCTGGAATCTGAGGGTGCAAAAGATAAAAATATTGAGAAAATCGCCTTTAAAGCTTCCAAATGAAGTTCTTAGCAATGCATATTACTAATCAAAAATTAAGTTTTGATATATTTGCCATAGGAAATTTACAAAATATCTTCATGGAACATGATCTTTACTTAACATCCTAATGATTTTTGGCATAAAAGAAAAATCTATAATTTTGACTAGAGATGCACCGATTGCAATTTTCTTGGCCGATTCCCTATTTCCGATTTTTTTGTAAGTGTGACCTGCCGATTCCGATTTTCTTTCTAAAAACTATAATTGACAGCATATACAAACAAAAATCTATACTTTCTTTAATGCAAAAAAATATTTACATAATAAAAAATTATTAAACATGAATGAATGAATGAATGAATGAGGCATTTATAAACATTACAATTCCCCCAATCTGGACAAAGTTACAGATGTTCTCTCACTTAAACAACTCACTTAAAATAAAGTGCTCTATGACTAGAAAAAAGGTAGAAATAACAATTAACTGAAAAGGAGTTGCTGTACTATTTAACAAAACAGATGTCATTTATTCCCACTGTTTCTTAAATTGTCATTTTTCACTAACCTTATTAAATGTCATCTTTCACATCAAATTCTTACATTGTTTTTTAATGAATTCAGTTAGAATAATAAGAAACTTTAGAGCTGTTACCATTCAAATGAAAGCAGTATCAACAAACTCCATCTTTCCACTGCAGGAAACACAGAAGCTGTATCTGAAGCGGCATTAGATGTATTTACAGAGACTGTTTGATGAAGCTGAGGTGCCATAGATGCAGTTACACTGCAAACTTTCAAATGCATAAAGAATATTATAAGATTAACATTTTAAATATTTTGAAACATACAAATAACAGAAACATTTTGGCATTTGGGAAAAATGCAATGATCGTTTTAAAGGGGTCATATGATGCAATTTCAAGTTTTCCTTTCTCTTTGGAGTGTTACAAGCTGTTCGTGAATAGATAAGATTCCTAAAGTTGCAAAGACTAAAGTCTCAAACCCAAAGAGATATTCTTTATAAAAGTTAAGACTCGTCCACGCCCTCCTAAAACACCTCGTTTAAACACGCCCCCACATGTCTACGTCACTGTGTGGGAAGATTTGCATAACGGCGCCCAAATGTTCACGCAAAGAAAGAAGGCGTAACTTTGATTCTCGCTGTAGTATTGTTGCCTCCGCCACCATGTCGTGGAGACGCTGTGT